TCAACAATGACAACAAATGATTAGTCAGACAATGGAAGCAACAATGACAACAAATGATTAGTCAGACAATGGAAGCAACATTGACAACAAATGAAGTCTGCAGATGTCATACCATAAAACACACATGTACAAAATAAAACACCTTCTGTTATTGTTGTGATGGGAGTCAATTTTCGGCATATGGATTTTACCTTCATGTAGAGCGTATTTGCTGAACGAGATGAAAAAGCAATGCCTTCTGAACACTGTCAGCAAGGAGCACATTTTCTATAGCAACTTGTTTCAAAGGTAACACTACACTTTGTCTTCAAACCTATGCTCAGCAACATGCTCTAGAACAATCCTACAGCTTACATGTACATATACCGCTATACATGTATGTACATGTACATGTGTGGTAATTACGGGGCCTGCTGAACAATAGTTCTTGTGGGAGAGAAAAATGACTTGAACTTTTGTTACAAGTTTGAGAGTTCCATGTAAGTTCCATTCTAAGACATACTGTACATAGTCAGACAATACAAGTCACGCACATGTACCTTTCTAATTCCTCCTCAGAATGTGCAAAGGTGCAGTTGCTTCCCCGAGGACAGCCCCTCTTCTGAGTAATATCTCTACACATACTTGTCTTGTATTTGATATTTTGTGTCTAAAGGAAAATCAAAAATAAGTGAATTAGCCTTCATTCTGGATGATTACATTTACAGGTCTTATTTTTTTAATCAGGGAGTGAGTCTATGCCCTGCAGTAAAGAACAAGTGGGACAGAATAACCTTAACCTAATATGAACTCAGTGCACACATACATGGGTAATTCCAAAAATTAGGGGTCCATTTTTTTAATGTTCCTGTTACATCTGACATGTGATTTCTTAAGTTAAGAACACATTTTCTAATTTCCAAGAGTGATGAATTAATACAAATTACCTGCCAAACAAATACTAATAGTTTGAAATCAATTCCAGTGATATTTCCATGACTTATAACAAAGGTCAGATGTAACAGGGACACAAAAATATCACACTTTTGGACCCCTAATTTCTGGAATTACCCACATGTATACCTCCTTACATGTACATGTCCTGTGTACCTTTATTGCTTACACATTAATAAGTAGTAGCATCAAATCCAGTGCAGCTATTGAGTGAACAGAATGTCATCAGAATTGTTTTAGTTGACCTGAACACTCCTGATAGATACATGAATTAAGTCTGAATAGTGATTCCAATAATACAACTACAAACAATGAGCAATCTTAAAGGGTGGCATGAATTGCACCAACACAAAAATTGGACTGCTGATGTACGCTGTTCACATACAGTCCATGTACATGTATCTGGTAAAATCAACAGCATTAGCTAAGCCCTGAATTTTGTGTCCAGGAATACTGTCGTTTTTTAGAAAAATCATGGATCATTTTCGAAAATGGCCGCTGACAATCATTGGCAAAATGGTTTGGTTTTAAACATTGAAACTGTAAAAAGGAATAATTATTCACTTTCACCATGGCATGGCACACTCCGTATAGTGTATTGTCTACATACATGTATGCTGTGGGCATTCAATTAGTGAGGCATGTACATACATGTACATGTACATGTTGAGTGCATATATACCGTACATGAGTAATGCATTTGGTCAAAGCGGTATTATACAAAGTACTTTCCAATAAATCCTGAGAATTTTATTATTTAGATAGAACAGAAAGTTGAAGGTAAATCTGCTAACTACTCTCTTTACTGTAAAAAGTATGGCTTCATTAATCTTTATTCTACCCTGATTTAATGCATAACGGTTTGTGCACTTAGGAAAATCCTGGACACAGTCCGTGGATTTAACATGCAATTAATCACATTCCAACAAATAGGTTCAATTCAGTAACATTACAGCAAAGCCAACAGAGTATACGACCTTAACTTTCCAAAAACATTTATACTGAATTTATGCCTTCTGCCAGGTCAAGTTTGATTCATTTTGGAGAGGCAGAAGAGTGACAAATACCGCAGCAGAGGTAACTCACAAAACTATACCAGTGTTTGATTATAAATGACAAATGTTAGAACATCAAGCCAAGTATACGATGCAAATCCATTATTTAAATTACTATTGTATCAAGTCATTTAAATTAAATCATGTGCATGAAGCAGTTCAATCAACCATGTCAGAACTGGTCTTGCACCAGATACATGTACATGTAGATGTTTTGGTAAAGAACCTTGTCTGCCCAGTGCAGGCCTTTTGTCGGGCCTCCAAATTATGCAATCCTCAGCATGTTATTTCATTGCTCACTCCTTGAAAGTTGGAAAGGTTGTTCATTTTCTCAGAACAGCAAAATGCAGCTTACAATTGTGCAGCATGTGTTTGTGGTAACAGAGTGGTTGAGGACTGAAAGCCTCCAGCAAGTAGCAGATGCATTTAGTCAGCATTTTCCTGACCATGCCATTCCCGCCAAGCCGACAATTTTGAAAAACATCCAAAAGTACCGAAGGGAGGGGACGAGCTTGGATCTCAACAAGGGTCGCTCAGGCCAACATCAGGGCTGTCTGTGAGTTGCTACAAAGAGACCCACATGCGTCTGCCAGGAGAAATGGGGTAGGAATTTTGCCATCCTCTTTCCACAAGATGGTTTGATTGGGCATCCAGCGGTACCCTTACAAGAAATACAGGTGACACGAACTCCTTGATGCAGATCCAGACCAGACGACTAAGATATTGCCAATGGTTCCTTGACTGGCATCCCAGATTATTGGAGCACCTTGTGATTGAGGATGAAGCAGCGTTTTTGACAAATGGCTAAGTCAACAACCAGAATGTCCGCGAATACACTCCGATGCATATCCCACCCAACTTCAGTTTGGATGTGAAAATGAGCCAAGAGAAGGTTTCTCTTTGGATAAGTCTGAGTGGAGATGGCACCATCATTGGACCCTGTTTCTTGGATGGCAATATCAAAGGTGAACGTTACCTCGAAATTATCAATGACGAAATTGTACCAGTTACAGCAACACTTTGAACACCACGGTGTAAAGCTTTACCACATATGGTGGGCCAAGGATTAAGCTCCAGCTCATCGTTGGATCATTGTGATGGAAAGGCTACGGGAAATGTTCAACATGAGAGCAACTGCAATCAACCGTGAGATTGAGTGGCCACCAAGGTCTTTTTGTGGGGACATCTTAAGAACCAAGTTTACAAGTTGCCAAACCAAGATGTCAATGAACTACGTGCCAAAATTATCACTGCAGTTGAGACCTTAAGAAGACAGGGAGACATAATCAGGAATGCATTGAGAGCGATGAGAACCAGAGCTGAATCTTATATTGAAAGGAATAGGGGGCATGTCGAAGGACAATGGGCAGGGCTCGAAATTAACGGGTGCAGGTAGCTAAAATGAACACAACATTTACCTGCTGTTCCAGTACTTTCTTGTTAAGGTTGTGATTCTGTACAAAATCCACCAAGCCTTTAACAACTGTCTTCACTGCCACCATAGCATTCTCTAGTTCACTCCAACTAGGACTGCCAGCATCTGAAAAAGTAAAATGGATACATTTCATTCAACAAACATGCATGCTACAAGAGGACAAGACATATATTCATGCCAATATATTTTGCTGACTATACATTCGTGTATGTAAATGTAGCTTTCCTTGGCAGTTCGCTTTTAACTTAAGTTTTGCAAAATGATTAGGAATGGTTTAAAAAAAGAGGCAAGAAATACAATGAAAGGGAAAGAGCCCATAAAAAGTGGTAGTGTTAAGCACTTGCTGGTGGGGAGTCCCGTACCAGAGACACAGTGCTGTGTTTCATGGCTGGGGTGCCTGAAATTGGAACTAAGGAACTGGGCCTTGTAACAAAAGATCACACTTGTAACACAAGACTGAGTGGCTAGGACTTGCCAATCAGCGCAGGGTGCTGGCATTAGCGGAGGTAATCAGTCATTGTTTTGAAACAGTACCATTGTTTGCCACTGCCAGCACCAGCGGATTATCAGTGGGGATAAAAGCCCTCCAGCACTCCAGCAATGAGCGATACAATACTGCCGTGCACTCATGGAATCTGGCTGCATTAGTAAAGACAACACCAACATCAAGCAACGCACTGGGCCAATTTCCGGAACAAAGGAAATTACGTAACACTGTACAATTGGGGCTCTTTACTGGGCTGTAGGCTTGGCTGCAATATACGGGCGTCAATGGAAGTTGCCTGTCAGATTAGACCAGCCACCAGACAGTCATCTGTGTGGGTGTATGCCTCCAGGAAATGAAGTTATGAATTTTTGAAGAATTGGAAAATGGATAATCATGAAAAAGTGCCTGGCCCAGCAGCATGAACATCAATAACTCGGCCCGGCGCAAAGTGGTTAGAAATAGATGCAACTACTTCTGTCAACAGACTCAAATGTTCTATTAGAAAGAAGCTTGTGACAAGGCCGATGTGAGATGTGGGTTGATTCAAATGATAAATGTTACCTTTTTTATGAACCACCTGGAAATTTAATGTTCATGAGTATGCTTGGAAATATTAACCTGTGAAAAATACATTTTAATCAAATGATTAGTTTAGGAAATGAAGAAAACTGGACAAGTTTTGACAAAGATTGAAGGAATGTGTCCGTGCCCACATGAAGTTGATAAATGTAAATGTACATGTACAATGCCTTGATTAGCAGGGATTATGAATCAGCTTTGTTAGTTCCTATTCACATCATAGCCAAATACAATGCAGATGTATGTGAACAATGCAGAATGCACCGGAGTAAAATAGCTAAGGAAACTGATTTGGGCTGATCAAGAACATTCACAAGTTGGAAAGGACAAATGGGTGTCCAAACAGGTACATGTACATGTAACTCACTGAACTAAGAGTATTTAAGTATCATACCAGCACTTCTGTTTTTTTAAAAAGATACAACCTGTATTAACCCTCCTTTAGTTTTACAGCACAAATACGCACAAGTGCCCAAGGTCACTCTCTTGCATGTTGGTGCAGTGCACAACATGACACAGCTGTGCTTCTTTGAGGTGTTTACCAAGTGACTCAAAGAGTGACTTCAGCATAGGAGGGTTAATGCAATAAAAGGAATGATGAAAAGGGACAAAAGGATATGATATACAAACTCTGTAACATTAACTACTGCACGCTGCCCTGAAACAGGGGTTACAATGAACTTTCAAGTTATACTGCACAATGCTTTAAAAATTACAGAGTTTGACGAGTGGATCTTGCAGCAGATTTGTCTGACATTTACATGTGCAATGTAGAAGGGGCTTTCAAATAGAGGGAGTAATGCTTTTTCAACATCACACAGCACTCAATCAACGTCTGCTTTCCAGGCTGCTAAATTATGATGCACTCCTATGAAAAAGTCTGGATGACACAACAGATTGAGTGCTGTATGTATGTTGCTTCGGGCAGACAGCTTTACATAGTCAATCCAATTGTGAATGGAAGTAAAAGGAGCAAGGTCGGAGGTGCGATCAATATTATCAATGCTAATGATTGTATTGTTCAACTTCAATGGCTGACAAGGGCTAATCAAACTGAGATGTTAAAACAAATGTTAAACACTTTATTAAGAGGGAATAACTGTCAGCAAAAAATTTGCATAGCCAATCTGCTATACAAATTATTTTTTGCAAGGCAGTTGGATAGACTTGTATAGCTATTTTTTATGTAATCGCAGTGCAAATTTACAGCACACAATTACAACATGACAAAACATCTAAAATAAATTCATGGTCTACATCCAAATAATTCCAGTTATTCCACTTCAAAAACCATGATGAATCCACACAGTGTCTAGTCCGCATTGAGCGATTGAGTTGAGAGTAATGCAACGTAACAACACAACTAGACAGCGCACATACAAGGATAATAACGAGTTTTAAGATTCCACGACGCGTAATCACGATGTCGCAGAACGACAAAGCCGAACAGACATAAATTCTTTAGTGCGCATGCTCAGTTGCTGTGGCCAGTGCGTTGTCCTCAATGTGACGAGTTTTTGCTTTTTCACGTCATGGTTTGGCCATCACGTCCGTCTAGTGGTTTTGCGATGTGAAATCTTAAACTCCCTAATTAGTTGACTACATGTGCATTGCCACTGCACTGCAGGCAATGAATCAAACAACTTTCACGGTCCCGTTAGAATGTTACAGTTGTAATCCATGTGCTATGGCAAGTGTTAAAATTGAGACTGATTAGTGGCTGAAGGCTCATTCACGTATGTATGCTCTCCTGCACAAATCGTGCTACGGAGAAACATGATATTTAATGTTTGATACCAGTTGGAAAACGGCACAATTAATCGATAAGCTGGTCTAAGCTGCGTTTGTAGTAAGCAACCCGGCCGCGCGTGAGAGAGAGAGGAGCATGTCATAAGACAACATCGTGATTGGATAGCTATGTCTGGCCAGGAGTACGTCATGCAAGCGCACATTTTCATTGGAGATTGCTCCAGTTTTACCACTTGCATTATGAATAATTCAGTGATTGGGCAGAAAGCATTTAATTCTGTAATGGCCAATTTCGTACAAACGAGAGTCAACTGTATATTATAGACTTATGCTGTGATTTCGTTGTGTTATCGGCACTTAACAGCTAGCTTAGTAATTCAGATTACAGGGAAGGGGTTGCAGAGAGTACCACTCTCTCGTACTAAATAAATTCGCCCATGAACATGTATGTGTCTGGTTGTAAGTGCGTAGCAAATGGCTGAAAATGCATCACGAATTGCAATGCAATACTGGGAAACTTATTCCCTGATTACCTATTCTTAAACTTCTTTCCATCCCTGAGGGTGCCATGTTGAGTAATAACATCATTACATTACAAGTTAGGGCTGTGCCGAATATTTGAATATTTGATCGATTATCGAATATTCAAATAGTGTTTTCTGAATCTGAATATTCAAATTCAAAAAATTTAAAAGGAATAGAAATTTTCAACAGGGCAAGAAGTATTGTTCATCTCTTAAATCTTGCTAAATTGTGATTGGAGATACTCCTAAATGTGAGAAGCTATTATAGTGATTATAATGTACAACTTTGTTGTGTTATTGCAACTGATTTTGTATACCTGGTTTGCTCATCAATAATATGCTGGTCAGTATGACTAAATATTTGGAAATTTGATCGAATTGAGGATCGAATATTTGAATAGTGAATTATTCTAATAGACTCTGCCCATTACATGTTCTTTTATATTGAATATACATGTACATATCTAAAATTTGAAAAGTTTTTTGTTTGTAATTCAAGCTTCTACATTTCATTTTCACATGTCACTCTTCTTTTAACCCCACAAGTAGTGTAGGGCTTATGTGATTTTGCACCTGGAAAAAGGTTTCTCCAAGTAATTTCAAGAAAAGATTCCATGCCATTCACTACCAGTGCTTTCACTTTCTTCCAGAATCAAGACTTGTCTTATCTTTCAACATCACAGTCCAATTGACCACAATGACTGCCTAGCTCTTTCCTGAAATTGTTTACCTGTTAACAAGCACTTCAACTTTTAAATTATGACCACAAAAATGTAGAAACGTACAAAGCACCACTGCAAAGCTGTCAACATTCCTGATACAGGTGATACACAATACACTGCACCATCAAGAAGTGGCCACAGACAAGCAATTTTTTAAGTGTAAAGCTTACAAATATGCAGCTGACTTGCAGCAATTTGCATTATCATTAGACATCATTATCATCCATTTGGCTGCTGAGGAGCAGTGAACCATAAGTTTCCTCCACACACGTTGATCCTGTGCTAGGTTTACTAGGTCTTCTGGCCCAAGCATAGTACAACTTCTGTTGCCCCATCAAACAATGTATGTATGATAAGTATGTAGACCATGGGCATCCTGGACGTCGTTTACCATGGGTGGGAACATAGTGCATGTCTTTGCTGGCTCCTCATCAGGCAACTGGACAATGTGGCCAAGAAATCTCAGTTGTTGGGATCTAACTCGATGCAGACGTGGTTGTGTGTTAGTCATGGGTCGAAGTCAATTCGAAGAGCAAAGTGTCAGGAGACAAGCTGAGGAAATGTTTGATCCAGGCATTCCTCGCCTCACAAAAACCCCACCATCTTCATCAATTAACACTAATACTCAATAAACACTGTCAAATCTTCAACCAAGACCAACATTGGGAACAATTCAAATTCAATGCAGCTAACAAATAGAATCTTGTCAACTGTTTCACCACAATGCACTGAGCAAAAATGCTGCTCCATGGCAAACTCTTGGTAGCACAGTGCATTATAAATCACCCATATTAAGACATAGGTTACATGTAAACACATGTACAGTACATTGCAATTGAAAGTTAACACCAAAATGGGAAAAACTTTT